GGTATGGATGTGTTTCAAGTGTAGACATCTGTTATCTGTCAAATGAAGGATGGGGAAGTAAGTAAATATCATTGCACTGCTTCATGCTTCGCCTCTCATTTTTGTTTCTTCAAAAACATTTTTTTTAATGAGAGCAAGTTTTCTAATATTCACATTCCATCCTACAATGAAAATTTCAATAGTTGTTTGAGCTTATTTCTTTATTTAGGGTTATACTTATCAGTCGTACTTAACATAGCATCTCCCATCCTGAGTTTTTATTGTGATTCATCTCTCTTTCTCTTTTTTGAAAGATTCATTTATTTATTTGAGAGAGAGACAGAGAGTGGGGGAGTGACAGGAGGGGCAGAGGGAGAGAGAATCTTAGACTCCATGCTGAATGTGGAGCCTTACATGAGGCTTGATCTCATGCCCATGAGATCACAATGTGAGCAGAAACCAGGTACACCACCCAGGTGCTCCTATTTTGCTTCATCTCTTTAATACAAAGATTACATTAAATATTTTCAGCCTGTCCCCAGGAAAGTCTAGAGTATTTGATTTCTTTAACTTGTTGCATGCTTGAGGGGATATGTTTTATTTTATTTTACTTTATTTTATTTACTTTTTATTGAAAGGCCAAATTGCATGGATATGTAATTCTTCTGTTGTTTAATACTGTAGATATCATTGTTTTCAGATATTATTTGCTTTAAGAAATACCAGATTACTCTAATTCACCTATCCCCCTTGTAATTTACTGAATGTATGTAAAACTATTCTATCAAGTTTAATAACTGTACTAGAATGTATCTTATTTGCTATCAATTTTTTAACATCCACAGTGTGCCATAAGTTGCTGCAGATTTGAGTTTTATTTCAGTTTTCTTCAATAATTAAGAAAATATTTTTTGCTTTCTCATTTTGTTCTTTTTTCAAGGAAGTCTCTGTGTGCTTAGAGTTCTTTGTTTTTCTTCTGTTTCAACCCAGTAGTGACAGTAACACAGATTTTGTAACAAGTAAGTTAATCACTCACTAGACTTGGATGCAGAGATTTTGTCTTCTATACTCTCACTACCCTTTGGTAATTAAAAACCAACATTCTTTTCCAGAAACTAATGAGTATTCTGAACTGTGGCCACAGGGCAAAGGTGACTTGGAAAACACACGGAATTTTACGGGAAGGTGTCCATCTGTTTATAATATAAATATCAAATTGTTGGCTGCTATCCCTAGAAAGTCCATATGCCCTGAAGCCAACACGTAGCTTATAAGATTCTTCTCTCAGAAGATACATAGGTTCTTCTCTAATAAAAGCAAATGGTATACCAAGAATATAAGTGGCAAGGAAAAATAGATACATTTACTTGATCAAAATTAAAAATCTTTGTGCTTCAAAGGACATCATCAATAAAGTGAAAAGATAACTCACAGAATGGAAGAAAACATTTGAAATCATATATCAGATAATGTATATATTTGTATCTAAAATATATATATATAACTTTTACAACTCAATAATCAAAAGACAACCCAGTTAAAAAGTGTACGAAGAATCTGAATAGATATTTCTCTACAGGAGATATACAAATGGCCGTAAGCCCAAGAAAAGATGCTCAGCATTATTAGCCATCAGGGAAATGTAAATCAAAATAACATTGAGAACTTACTTTATACCTACTAAGGTGGTTATGCTGAAAAAGGCAGTAACAAGTGTTGGTGAGAATGTGGAGCAGTTAGAATTCTTGTATATTTCCCTTGGGCCTGTAAAATGGTTTACCCACTCTGGAAAACAGTTTGGAAATTTCATTTCTCAAAAGGTTAAATATAGATTTACCATATGATCCAGCAGTTCCCCTACCTCAGTATATAGAGAAATGGGAACATATGTTCATGTAAATACTTGTACATGAGTGTTTATGGTAGCTTTATTCATTATAGCTCCCAAAGAGAAACAAATCATATACCCATCAATAGATGAAGGGATAAATGCAATGTGATACCTTCATACAAAGGAATATAATTAAAAAATAAAAAGGTATTGAGTACTGATACAAGCTACAGCATGGAGGAACCTTGAAAACATTATGCTAAGTGAAAGGAACTGGTCACAAAAGATCTCATGTAATATGATTGCATTCATATGAAATATACAGAATAGGTAAATCTATAAAAACAAAGCAGTTTGTGAATGCATAAAGGCTATATTGGGGAGGTTGAAAATGTTCTAAAAATAGGTTTGGTTATGGTTGTACAGCTATGTTAATATACTAAAAAACATTGAATTGTATACTTTAAGTATATCCATTTTATACTCTGAATTATATGACAATAAAGTCATAAAAAAAGCCAAATGTAGTGCAGTCTTACTTCCAGATTTCTCTGGTCACTGATCATGCTTTCTTACTGTAGACACCTAGCCATCTCCCTAGCCTGACATTGCTTCCCCAAGGTCACAACCTCTGCTCACTCTCCCTTTACCATTTCTGTATCTTTGCTGATACTGTTCCCTGTTCTCCACCTAGGTGGTTCATTTCATGGTAATAGGGAAGATGGAGCTAAGTGGATAGAAGTGGTTTTATTCTTTCCTTGTTTTCTTTTTAGTTTTATAGTCACTGCATAATTCTATCCTGCTTACCTTCCAAGGCCTTCTCTTAATTTCCAGAAACCTCTTGTGAAAGTAAAAGTCTAAACTTGGACAATTTTTTAATAGCTGTTTTTTGAAATCAGGGCTGTGGGAAATATTTCATAATTCAAGAGAGTTGTAACTTCTGTGAGTATCTTTACATGCATGGATAAAATATAAACACATTTGAACCAAATTAGGCTTTCCAAACCTGATGATTTTTGAGAAGTCCATTGATCTATTTTTTAATAAATCTTTTGCTAAGAATGAGGATTATTTTTTTCTTTTCTTGTCCAGAAAAACATTTCATAAAGTAGTTTTAAGCCCAATATTCTTATTTTTGTGAAGTCAGTTATTATTCCAAAGTTTTTTTCTCAATTGCTCACATCCTGAGAAAAATCACACTGCTTAGTCTCACAGGAGACATTATTTGTATTACAAAACAAATTTGATCATGTATAATGGAGACAGGAAAGTGCCAAGGCTGCCAATGTGCCTTAATGCTGCTCCGGGCTTTCTTTTTCCAGTGAACTCTGTCTGAAAACAAATTAGGATGAAAAGCCTGCTCAGTGAGAATATGGAATCATATCAAAGAAACTGTCTGAGCCATTGGAGTAATTCTGACACCCAGCAATTCTCTTCCAGACCAGACACATATTAAGTAAATTTATTTCCAACTTCTAAACCTAAAATTTCCCACATTGCCCTTTTCACCTTACTAATTGCAAGCACATTTACATTAAAACACTTCTGTTACTTGGAAGAGAGTTATTAGATGCTAAATCTATAAAATTTTTAAAAAGTTTTTTTAAATACATAATACATTTATATGGTTTCAAATTTTAAGACTTATGTAAACAGGAATAAAAGGAATTGGGTGAAAATTCTCTTCTATCTTTGCTTCTACCCTGTTTGCACTTCCAAAGGCAATCAGTTTAGCTGCTCTTTTGTTTCTTGTATATGCTTCAAGAAACATTCTACAAATTTTGAAGCAAAATATATGGAGGTGTGTATATTTCTTCTTTTTTACACAAATGATAGTGACTATATAGTCTGTATTGTACATTTCTTTTTTCACTTTATAAGAAGTCTTAGAGATCCTCAACTGAGCATAAGGTTCTCCTATTTTTAAAATTTGCAATGTGATCTTTTGTATGGTGATACTGTAGGTTTTTCCATACAGTGACCTTTCTTGGAGATTTAGGTTGCTTGAGAGAGTCGTCTGAGTTGTTCCATGTATGAATAGTTCTTTTTATTACTGAGTAGTATTCCAAGGTATAGATGTATCATAGTGTATTTAACCATTCACCCACTGAAGGACATCTGGTTCTTTCCAGCTTTGAGCTGTTACAGATTAGCTGCTTTGAACATTTGTGTGCAGGTTCATGTATGAAGTTTTCACTTTTCTGACATTAATGTGTAAGAGTGCAATTGCTGGGTTAGGTAGTAGTTGCATGCTTAGGTTTTTTAAGAAATAATTAAACTTTCCGTAAGTGGCAGTACCACTTACATTCCTATCAGCAATGTATGAGGGATTGAGTTTTCACCATCCTAGCTTTGGTGTTGAAATCTTATTACTTTGGCCGTTCTGTTAGATATATAAGGGGTCTAATTCTTAAATTATGAAATGTTACAAACTTCATTCAGTAAGAACCATCCAGAAAGTTATAGAAAATTATAATGGGCATCCATTTTTCCAACATGGGATGATTCTTCAAAGATAAATCACACGTTAAAGATTATGAATAATTTTTTAAATTAAGTTTGATATATTTTGGACTCCTATGTCTCCCCATATTTTCTTTTCCATTATTTTTTTTTACCTTCACAGATTTTTCTTTGAGAATATTAAGATGGTAGTAAATGGGATTTTTAATTTTTGCTATTGAATCTGACAATTTATAGTTCTGTGGTTCTACTGGAAGAGACTTCTGATTGATAATATCTCATGAAAGGTACACAAGGCATTTTACTGAAATTAAACTTTCGTCTTCTGATTTTAGAATCCTCACAATTGCAGTATGTTAAAATGTTAATTCTCTAAGATATTGCCAAGAGACAGATGGTATTATTATCTACGTATCAAATATAATTGTTTGGAAGCCACAGATTAAATCATGAGCTAAATTTCTTATGCATGTAGCTTAAGTCTAGTGAATTTCCTTGAAGAATTGTAAGTCAGCAGCTTTCAAGACCACCACAACTATATTTAAAATTAGTGTTTTGCCTATGTATTTGCTAAATATTTATATTATCTATTTATAACTTCATGTAAAATATCTCACACTGTTTTTTCTTTTCACTTTGTCTTGAGCATTTTCTGCTTTTGATGTTGTAACTTTTTCTCTATATGACTCTTACCCTCTGATCTCTCTTCCTTCATTATTCCTTCATTATTTTTCTCAGTGAAGTCTTTTCTGACCTCTGTCATTCCTCCACAGGGATGATGCAAATCTTCTCTGTATTGTTCCAGGTTTAGTGTAAGTGCTGCCAAAGTGAGCACTGCTGGACTCTGGGCCAGGTTATATCCTCCTTCCATATGCTTCCTTCACTTTTGTTTCAGAAACATGTACTGACAGTTCCTCAGTTCTCGTCATCCATTAAGAGGACCTTTTGTGGGACGCCTGGGTGGCTCAGTGGTTGAGTGTCTGTGTTTGGCTCAGGGTCTGGGATCGAGTCCTACAACGGGCTCTCCGCAGGGAGCCTGCTTCTCCCTCTGCCTATATGTCTGCTTCTCTCTCTCTCTCTGTGTCTCTTGTGAATAAATAAATAAAGTCTTAAAAAAAAAGAGGACCTTTTGTTTATTATCCTCACGAGGAGGACCATATCTTTTCTCTTCATTGCTACTTCTTTAGTGCCAACCTTGGCACTGTACCCAAGTAGGCACTCAATATATCTATATATTTTTGTTGAATGGTTGAAGAAATGAAACGGTGGACTTAAAAATACCTCCCAACCTCTAAGTTTCATGGAAACGTTCAGTATTCCTTCTCCAGTGATTTGTTCTGACTCTTGTTTCTTTGAACAGGTTGATGGACTCAGAAGGGAAATTATGTAAGAAGGGAGTATTGTAGAGAATTGTCCTGGGTTTGGTTTCCTCCAACCGCCTTCAGATATCTTAGATTGATATTATAGCTCCATCTTCTTCCTCTAGTATCTTATCGTTTGGCAAATCAGAGTTCTATAAAAATGGCTATGTGTTTACTTCAAATCCGTGATTTCTCAAGTTTTGTATTCTTAAATGTTATCAGGTTTCTCCATTTTCTTGTCTGGAAACTACTTGATGTCATTTTGTGGCTTTGTGGGAGAGTAATGCATATTTGGGTTGATTTATAGAAAGTAATTAAGGAATTCTAACTAAACAGGAAGTATGCTTTAGACACTATATTCTCTTAATAGATAAATTAGGCAGATTACGGCACCATGTAAATGACTTAAACCATTTAAATCATGGTCTTAAAATTATGAATGCTCTTTTATATTTCTTCCTTTTGTAAATTAAACTATACACATTTTTTAGATACAGGAAATCATTTGCTTAAAGTGTTTGATCACCTCATCTTTAAAAAATAAACATATTTCTTGGGATCCCTGGGTGGCGCAGTAGTTTGGCGCCTGCCTTTGGCCCAGGGCGCGATCCTGGAGACCCGGGATCGAATCCCACGTTGGGCTTCTGGTGCATGGAGCCTGCTTCTCCCTCTGCCTGTGTCTCTGCTCTCTCTCTCTCTGTGTGTGTGACTATCGTAGATAAATAAAAAATTAAAAAAAATAAACATATTTCCTTAATATTTGAATAAGTAATATTTACATATATTAATAATTGATAACTATGCAAGAATATAGTAAAGATTGTTTCTCCCATCTTGTCCTTAACCCAGTTTTCATCTATACCCCCAATCAGTAAGCATTATTCTTAGTTTCATAATATCATCTCATCTCATAGGAAATGGATTGTTTAAAAGTGTAGAATGTATTATCAGATAATTAAAATAAATCCTCTGTAACCAAAAAGTGAGTTTCTTAAAATTGGTGCTGCACCAGATAGCAATTATTTTAAGCCCTGGAGGCCATGAAGTCTCTTCTACAACTATTCAACTCTGCTGTTATAATTTAAAAGCATCCATAGGCAATATGTAGATGGATGAGCACGTGTGAGCACAAATAAAACTTTATGGACATTGAGATTTGTTTTTTTTATAACATTTTCACATGCTATAAAATATTCTTCTTTGAGTTTGTTTCCAGCCATTTAAAAATATAAAATTGATCTTAGTTCACATTTATAAAATAACAAGCATTGGGCAGGATTTGGCTCCTCGACTATTTGCTGACTCCTGATATGGATCAAGATAATGTTGTTGGGTTCTAACACAATTTATTTAATTTTTAATTTTTTTCTTATATATATTTAAAATGCTGTTATAAAATATATTAATTTCTTTGCCTTATATGTCCAATTCAATATATTAGGGAAGAACATGTAATAATTGTTGCATGATGGTTAAGTGCTAGACACTTTTTGTACATTATCTCCATTAGTCCAGTCACCAATTCTGTGAAGTAGATATTATTTCTATTTTATAGATAAGTAATGAGGAAAAAGGGGATGAGTAACATTCCCAAAGTTATATACTTGCTAAGAGGTGGACTGTACTATTTGACAGAGGTTTATTGGACTCCATGTTTATAGACTTGAATAACTATTTTTCAACTACATGAATAAGCTGCTTCCACTTAGAGTTCTATGCTTGTGTTTAGGTGTTTTTAGGTTTGTTGTTTTTTATTTGTTGGTTGGTATTCAATGCTGTTATTTTCTCAAAGAATATTGAATTTATATTTATTTTCATTATCTAATTTTCACCTGAGTAATTTTGCTTTACCTAGCTTCCTTTTAAGGGGAACTGGATTGGAAAATTGGCAAATGGAGTTTGAAATATAGAGTAATTTTTTTTCAAGCATGGTCCCTGTCTTGCAGTTATGTATGTATAATTAAATTTTTAATTCTGCAATTTCAGTCCATTTCCTCTTGAATCCTCAGATGCTCAGAACATTTGATGACAACCAAGATTGTTTTTCACAATGATTAGAAGAAGAATAAAGTGCTTTTATATGGGGATTATAAAATATGTTAAAGTACATATTCTTTTTCTGTACTTAAAAACAATTAAGAGTGATCCTTTTATTTAACAATATTGAATTATAGTCACAATGTTGATAGTAAAATTTGCTACCCTTCAAAAGCGAATCCTACAGAGAAAACACATTTTAATTTACCTTTCAATTTATACATACCTTTGTTGGGTAGATACTGATTTATTTTATGGAGATTATTTCGAAGTATGTAAGGATTTTTTAAAGTATTTGAATAGAATTTTTAAAGAAAAGAAAAATTAAATAGCATGCCATTGTAACTAATGCGGCTTATTTAGAGAGGGTTAAATTTGAAATTTGTATTTAAATTTTTCACTAATAGCTGGAAATATGTTAATTAATTGGATGGTAGGGACCTTCTACTGTCATAAGCTATACCATAAAATATTTTCTTTTCAGCTCTGGGGAATACACATTTTGGAAGCCTTTTAGGGATTAGTGGGTTAATTGCGGGTCTACAAGAGCATTCTGTAATTAAATAATTAAATTATTGGTTCCAAATCATGGAGCTTTAGAGATTAGACTATTTCTTTAATTTTGATGATTGTTTAAAGGCTAATCATTAGAAGATTCACTGAATGACTTGTAAATGTCAGAGAAAATGATTTATTTTGTATCTGCCACCAAAATTTAAAGCAGAAGCTAATATTGAGATCATGCCATGGCATTTTGTTTTATTGATAAGCATTGTAATCATTACTTAATAACTACCAAGATAAATGAGGGGAAAATGCCCCTAGAGTAGTTTACTTAAAATAGAAACTAAATACTGTGTGTGGTTAAATTGAAAACAGCTATCAAGAATGTGGACTAATGCTATCCTAAATTAGAGATATTAATATTAAAAACATTAGTGGGACTTAAATTTAAAAGATTTTATACACTGAAAAAATATTAACATTTTGAGATTTATAGGCATAAGTCAGAGATCTTTAGTTAGAACATGATAAGCTTACCGAAAAATATTAATATATAAGTGGTTACCCTTTATATACTTACATGCCATAATGATTTAAGAAAGCCCTATAATGTCACTGTATTCTCAGCAGCCCATGCAGTGTCCAATACATATGAGGTACACAAATATTTATTGAATTAATGAATGGCACCTATCTTCTGTATACTTTGTTTCCTAAAGAAAAATACTATTTTCTTATAACCTTATATCAATCCTCAGTAAAATAGTACTATTTCTTTTTATAGCCAAAGAAGCTGTGTTAGTTTATAATGGATATTTATTTATTATTTATTTATTTATTTATTTATTTATTTATTTTATAATGGATATTTTATTAAAATATATTAGTTATTTTCAATTTTCATTTGTATTTATTTTTTATTTCTGTCTTCAGGAAGTTACTTAACAAAATTTTGCATGAAATTTATGAAATGCCCTTGCTTACACGAAATATAGAAGTGTGTAACATAAAACACAAAATGAGGCTAAAGTCATTTTAAAAAATTTTAATTGAAATAGAGCTGATGAACATTATAGTTTCAGTTGTACAACATAGTGATTCCACAATTATATAAATTATGATATGCTCACCACGATAAGTATAGGTACCATCTGTCAGCATACAAAGTTATTACAGTATTATTCACTGTATTTCCTATGTCTACTTTTCATCACTGTGACTTATTTTACAACTGGAGTTTATACCTCTTAATGGATAGAAGGGATTAAGAGGTACAAATCCATTTATTTATTTTTCATTCAAATGGAGTTAACATTTCATGGAAGTACATACTTTATTTCTCAAGCTCTAATCCTATTAATGCATTTTAAAGTTAAATTTCCAACTAGTTAGTACTAGGATAATAAGCAGAAGTCAGGAAAGTTTGAGGATAATCAGTATAGTCAAATGGCCCACTGAAAATTGGATCTTACAATTAGGTGAAGCCTAATTTTAATACAGCTTCTTGTTATGTACAGTTATTGATATTTCAGATTGCAATTCCCTGTGAACATAATTACCTATCACTCGAGTTATATATAACACCTTTGCTTAATCAGGTAGTGATTCCAACAGAATCAAGGTTATAAAAATAGATAAAGAAAGTGAACATGATTCAAAAACGATTTTTTGAGGGACTTTTTTTAATAGCCCCAATTGACCTAAATTGTATTACTTTCTCTCAGATATTTGTTGAGTGACTTTCAATTGTCGTTTTTAATTGGAATTATCATTAACTGATTTAGGCTTGTCTGGCTTTCCAGTTTCTTGTGTATTACAGATACTACCTTTAAATAAGTATTGTTAGTATTCAGATATACTTTTACAAATAGATAACATTTAAAAGTTGAAATTTGAAATTTCAAATATAAAGCCAAATGAGGGGACCTGGGTG